TTTATCCTCAGAATTTGTAAATTCTTTGTCACCACTTATTTGTAATATATGTTGTGAATAGTTTCTTTTAGTTTATCATTTGCCTTTGACTTTGCTTTTTTTCATGCAAACTGTTTTATTTTTAAGTAGTCAAATGTAGCCGTCTTTGTTTTCTTTGAATCAGGACATACATATTTCTATAGTTATATTTGTAGTAATAGTTACAATATGTATGCACTATGACTATAAAATTATATATTATATCAGATATATATGTACCATGGTATGTATATAAATATAACTATATAGTAATAATATCTATACACTATGATAGTGTATGTATGTACACAGGTAGATATACCTATATATAAATAGATATAGATATGTACACACATATTATGTATAAACATATGGTTAAGGAAATATACCATTTCTCAAGAGTTTTTATTAGGAATGGGCACTGAATTTTGCCAAACGTCTTTAAAAAATAATTGTATGCTTTTCTTCTTAAGCTCTATTTATATGGTAAATTATATTATGAGATTTTCATTATTGAACCCTTCTTGTATTCTTACTAAATGTAATCCTTAAGTAAGGTTTTCAAGTCCTGTAACTATGTCTCAGGACCTTTGCCTCTATGGACAGCCTCCTCTCTGAAGCTTTTTGAAAATATTTCTCACACTCTGTCCCTGAAATGAAACCCTCTTCTTTATTCGTCTCTCTTCTTTTCATATGTATTTATTTGTTTTAATGTCTGTCTCTCCCATTAAACTCTACATACACTGAAGGCAGGGAGGATGTGATTCTTAGATATTTTTTTACATCAGTTTCATCAGTTACATCAGTTTGTGGAATCTACAAACCCTAAACGCCCATCCAAAAGAGGTACTCAGGACCAGTGCTTGTCATATTTTTCTATTAACTAGCCACAGAAATTAAAATCAATTCCTATTAAAATTATGCCAGATTCAGATCTCTGAGGCAACAAAGCATGTCCCTCTGAATCAGTGCAACAGCTTTATGCATAAGAAAAATCCAATGCGACCCAATTACCTAGAAGAGTGGAACTATGCTGATCTCAAGCTAGTGGTGCAAAAATGGTTCTACCATAGATGGGATTCTCACATCTCTTTTCCTCTTCCCATTCAGCATGAACAGACACTTACATCATCACAAGAAAATGTGCAACATAGAGAGGCTACGTGACGTGCGTGGTTCCCAGATTATCAGGTTCGCCACCAAATTTCTCTTCTCGATTCACCAACTAACTGTCCCCTCTGCTCTGGCTTTCCGGCACTTTTGAGTATTTTCTGGTGACAGCTGAATGGCATTATTACTGTAATCAGGTTTATTTGTTGGTATGACTTCTTTATAAAGTAAATTGGGAGTTGTCTGGCAGAGCTCAGGGCAAAAGTGCACACGCACCTGGCATTTACCAAGGGTAGCTGGATGCAGCCCCATCCACGTTCTCTTCCTTACGTTATATGTGCCTCCATATAATTACAGTCTCACAGAGCATTTGGGTAAACATGAGGAATCCGAGTGAGAAGACCAGGCAAAAACTGTAACAGAGGGTAGAAGAGTACAAAGATGCTGGTGGAGGGGAAAGTATTCTATTCTTTTCTACTGTGTTCTCCTTCCTGTGTTAAATTGCACCCAACTAATGTCCAGACCCATCAAGAAGCCCTAGACTGAGTTTAAGAGTAATTTCAAAAGTGTTCGCTGGCCCTGACCTTGCCTAAGATCATAGTCTCCTGCTCTCTGCTCATGCCTTCCTTGCATTCAGTTAGTAATCACAGAATCCAGGGGAAAAGCCCTATGTAGGAGCTGGGAGATAAAATGACCTTTTCTCACCATCTCGTCTTGTGTTTCTCTTTGGAACATCAGCTCATTTCTGCCAGTTAATGTCTTTTTCTCCCACGGTGGTAACTTTCACTCACCATGCCAGCTGTCACTGCTGGACACTCAAGCTTTGGCTGGGTGTCAAAATGCAAGCTTTGCTGCTGTCAAAACTCAGGCTATGTTTGTCAGCCCTCAGAGAACAGAGTTTCTGTCTTTCTGCAGAGTCAATCTTTAAGTTCAAGCCAAAGCCAACTCCCCTAAATCAGAGCACCAAGAAGGCAGTCTTCAAGAACCTCTTCACTTGATCAGAGCTTCTGAGACAACGTTCTTTTCATTATCTCTGGCCTTGGTCAGATTCTCTAAACTTTTTGGCTTTGATCTTGATTAATCTTTTTTCTTTTCTTAGTCATCCTTTTTTCCACACTTTCTTTGGCCATTCTATCCTCAGGGGTCAATAATTTCTACTTTTCTTTGTTTTCTGTCAACAATTTTGGGCCTTAAAAAAATCAATATTTACCTAATTGCACACAAAACATCTCTTGTCTATAGTAAAAGGAGACACCAAAGCAATGAAATATTCTGACACAATGGAGATTGATCACACTGTGGACTGGAAAATCAGACATTGGATTTCCATCATTTTGGCTCTGGCACGTCTAATTATGTGATACTGGGCAGATCAATTTCACAGAGCTTCTCAACTCCTCTTTTGTAATATGACCTCTATTGCCCACCCTGGCCAAAGGTTTTATGATTTTAAAGACCTATAATGCAAAGCTAATTTGGTCAAGCCAACCACATGTTCTTCAGTTAAAATAAAACTTACGTTGAATTCTTTTTTTTAAAGACTATATTTGACGGAGGCATATTTATCTTTCACTCTAGGCACTTGCATATAAGCTAAAATATGCCTCCCTCTGGACTTGCATATGAGCCAAAATATGAGCCATATTTGCATATGAACCAAAATATACCTACCCCTGGACCTTATAGGTTAACTATGGCTACAATAATGCTGTATAAGTTATACAATTTCAGCAGCATACAACAATATTTAATTTATGTACCTTTGAGGTAGACTGGAGGGTGTTTGACCTAGACTGGGCTTGGCTTGGGTAGTTCTTCTCTGCTCTGTGGGTCTCTCTTCTTCTTGGAGCTAGCAGGCTAGCCTGAAAATGTTCTTCTCATGGTAATGGCAGAGAACAAGAGAGTGAGTCCAATCATACAAGTACCTTTCAAGCCTTGGGTTAGTCATACTCAGGATGTTCCTTTGTCCAAAACAAATCCCATGGTCAAGCCCAAAGTCAAGGGCTGTTATAGTGCAAGTGGGTAAGGAAGCAGGTATTTCTGAACAAGGCCATCTAACACACTGTACTTTGGGTGCTGAAAATGCTTATGCATGGCTTCTCAGTGAAAATGAAGGCAGTGACGAAGACATGCAGAAATCTTGGAGATAGACTCTGGTGTTGCTGTTTCTTATGTGGGACAGAACTGAATCCACCCCTAGAGAGAGGGGTTGCTGGTTTCAGATAGGTTCTGTGAACTTACATACAGTTTTAAGGTGCAGGTGAAACAGTCATTTTAGTCAAAGGAGGGAGATCAAGATCACAGTACTTGCTGGAAAGTGTCTAGTCTCTTTATTTTGCAGACTTGTGAAGAATGCATCTGACCCACTGAGGGAGTGTCCCTCTGGGGTAAGCAGATGGTCACTGTTTTCATGCTGGAGATGAATTTGCAAATGCTGACCAGAACTTACTTATAAGACAAAGGAGGGGCGCTTCAAAGAGGAGCTGATATAAAAACCCGTGAAACACCTGTCACAGGACAGGCTGAAAACAGATACGGATTTGTGTTGTACCATAGAATTGCCCATCCCTTTACTGAAACAATCTAAACACCCTCCAACTCTGCCACTTCTACCCAACCCTTCTGTGTGTATTCATGTCTTTTAATGAAACAGTAAAATAAAGCCACAATGACCTTAACAGAAAGTACCGATGATTAAGTTGTATGAAATAAAAATAACTACATATGAAGCAACAGTCACATATATATGAAGTTAGTCTTATTTATTTCTTGAGAATTAGTGAGGGATTGAGAGTAATTAAGGCAGGCAAACATTAGTTTATGTTCCCAATCACTAGGCTGTATTCATGATCTATTACTGTGTAGCGTATTATACCCAAAGTCAGTGGGGTTCAAAAACCAGCCTTTATTATCTCACACAATGTCTGGGGGTCAGGAATTCAGAAGAGGTTAGCTGGGTGGTTCTGGCTCCCATCAAAGTTAATGGAAGCCTTAGGTGGGGGCTGGAGGGCATACTTCCAGGATGGCTCGCTAGTTGATACTGTTAGCAGGAGGCTTTGATTCCTAGACGGGTGGCCCTCTCAACAGGGCTGCCTGAGTGTCCTCACGTCATGGCAATGGGCTTCTTCCAGACAGACAGTCAAAGAGAGATCTACACTCTCTACTACATGGTAGCACTGCCATGTATTTTACAACCCAGCCTTGCAAATCACACTCTGGTGACTTCTTATTGGTTATACTAGGCCTGGGACTGGTACTTATTTACGAGACTGTGTAAGTACGTGGCCCTGGACTTGAACACCTTGTAAAGTGTAAAGTTTACACTCTAGGTGTCCTGCTTGCCTTACCCCAGTCCTGGTCAGCTACAGAAGTCAGTTGCAGTCACTTTCACAGGGGACTATGTAAGAGGCAAGTATCGTGCAGGACACACTGGAGGCTGGTCACCATGAGAAATATGTACTTAACCAAGATTCACCCAGAAGTGCTGATGCTTGGGCCTCATTCCACAGGGATTCTGATGGGATTGTTCTGGACCAGGACAGCCATGATGTTCAAAAAGCGCCAATACACCCTCCAAGTTATTCTCACATGTTGTGAGGGATAAGTACAAATGAATGAAATGTTCCTTTTGAGACTAAAAGCCATGTAGCATTTCCCTATCATATCTGACAGCGACATCTGTTTTTTCCTAGGGCAGGGGTTTGGGAGTGGTTTAGAGGGACAAAGGGCATCAGTAATTTATTCACTTGGGAACTATTGCTGAATAGAGAACCAATCTGGCTAACTAGGCTTCTTTTCCATCACCTTTACATTCTGTTTGAACTATTTTGTAAAATATTGGTAGAAGCAGGATTAATTCATCAATGCTAGTCTGATTTGAACTTGTATTTATTTCAAGACAGACCACAATGTATAGATCAGATGAACAGGAGAGTCCCCAGATGAAAAAGAGAATAATAGGAATTACAGGATTTGGTTTGGGGTTAGGCTACTTGTTTACTCATACAACAGTTGGTAATAGTTCGATATATGCACACACACATGCACACACACACACACACACACTCACATGCACATACAGATAAAGCTAAGGATGAGACCACTCTTAAGCTCAGATCATTTTAGAGTCCAGTGAAGTGTTACCTGTGTCTACCAGGCTACTTGGTCATTAGCTGATTTTCCCTTGGATCCTTCCTCATCCCATGGGCCAGAAGGCTGAGGGGAACATGGTGGAAGGAAGGGGGGTTGGGACTGGTGTTCTTGGGCCAGGTATTCTGTTTTCCTCCATAAGCACAATATTTCCAGACAAAGACAACTCGTACTTATTTGGAAATCTTGCTAGAACTTTCACATTTTCTTCTTTTTTGTAATTTTCCTAGGGAATGCAATGTACCTCAGGGATTATCATACTTCTGGTAAATAGTTTAGAATGGTGGCAGATATCCAAATAGAAAAGGGTCTGGCATGGACATATGCTTGACACCATCGTCGTCACCTCAGTCAGAGAGCGAAAATGAAAAATAAAAACACTGCAAGTACTTTTCAATAACAGCAGTCTCATCTGCATTTCTTACAGAAACCAGCAAATCTCCGCAGATTGCACTGGGCATGAACATGACATATCCTCTCACTCTTGCTCAATTTCAGGCCTGTGCAGATGAAAGGGGGTGGGTTGCAGGGAAAGCAGGCCATTCACTTCTGACATCCATTTCAGCTGCAGTACAGGCTTGGCTAGAGGGCGATTATGTTAATAAGGCACAAGGTCCACCTTCTCACAGGATTCGAGCAGAGTTCTCTATGGCCAAGTCTCAAGGGACTAGAGTGTCTCCATCTCCTGACAAGGCAGATCCCTTCCAACAGCCTCTTGGATACAAGTGTACTTGATGGGAGGTGGAGGTGGCTTGAAAGGCGGGGGTCTTTCCATGCTAGGAATAAAACATTGCTCTTTCAATGCTGAGAACGCAAGGCAGTGATTCAAGGAAGGAAGGAAGTAGGAAACAGACACCCACCTGTCCTCTCAGGAGTTTTCTTTGCATAACCTGCTTATTATTTGTAGTATGATAGTATCACTAATTAATACTTATATGCTATGTTATAGCTGGCAAAGCAATTTTATCATGACATTATTTAATTTGTATCTAGGAATTGGATATTGTTGTCACCATTCTGCAGAGAACATGGAGGCCCGGAGGTCTTCAGCAGCTTGCTAAAGAGAACCAGAGCGGCAATTTAAGTCTTTGAACCAGAACCTACACTCTCCATGGCAACTGCCTCTTAATAGAAGAGGTGTTTCTCTTATGTGGGTTAAAACACTCCTCCAGAGACAAAATTTTTAACTTCTGGGACTAAAGACTGAAGCTTTTCAAATAATCCCTTTGCCAACCTTATTCCAGCCTTCGCCCACACATTCACTGTATACTGTGGCGACAGGCTTGAGGTGGGAAGAAAAGCTCTTCTGAATCCTTGAGTTGGTTGGTACTGGATGGTTAATGCCAGAATCCCTTACATTTGAATCTGTGAACATTCTCCAAGTCATCTTTATATAATGTTTCACGTAAGCACAACTCATCTCTTTGTCTTAAGTGTGTCAGGCCTATATGTGAGCTGTACAGCCCCCTTTGTATCGGGACACAGAAATACAACTGTGAGAAGACTTACGTCCCTGACTCAAACACCTCCAACTCTTCTTGGTAAATCTATAGCACCTTAAGTTCTCCAGAACTTAAGAGGGAGAGGTGGAGGGAGAGAGAGAGAGTCTCCTCTCTATACAACACAAACTTTTGAATATGGAATAATAAGAAAATCAATTCAAAATCTCAGATTCCCATTTCCTCACTTTAATAAAAGTATTTAATGTCTATTACATGGTTTTCTGATGCTTTCAAGTAGACAATACATATCAAAAGGTGGAAAGAATTATAAGAAATCTGCACCTCTGTTTTTTCAGGGAAACTAAGAATTCCTCAAGATATATGGCAGCCAAAGTGTAGTCCTTGGATAAGAGTCCAGAATTTCTGACTACTGGTTTAGTGTTGTTGCTGTTTTTTTTTTTTTTTTTCTTTTTTCCCACCATGAAACACTCCCTGCACATGATTCTAGAGTTTTCAAGGCTACTTTAAGTAGAAGGTGCTAGTGGGCACTGGCATCTTAGATGGTAGCAGTGAGAGATGTGGAAGAGAGGCTATCATGTTGTAGGGGTCTCCTCCAATCATGGTCTAATCTGGATCCCAAATAGCCAAGTCAGAAAAGTGAGGCTTAATCGTACATGTCACTGCAGATTGCTGAGAAAAAGGGAAAGGAATTTTAGAAAATATTTCAATAAGACATAAGAGGGGTAACCCACTGTTTACTTTCTTTCCTCCCTGGGGAAAAGGGGAAAGGGCGGTAAAAGCCCATTCTGCTGAAAAGCAGATGGAGTTTCTTAAAATTACCTTTCTCACTCAATTTCACACTTGAGTATCTAGGCCCAGCTGGGCCCAGGCAGTTCAGAGATGCATGAAAATGAAAAAATAATGAAGATTAAAAGAAAAATCAGTTTTAGTTTTTGAGGTGAGGCTAGGCTCAGTTCTCATTTCATGCCCACTGACTTGTTCTATCTGACAAGTGTCACAAACTGAACAGAGTGGGGACACCAAGTCAGAAGTTGTGCAACTAATCCCAGCTGTGTGGTGCTCAGCAGGCTGGGGAGCTTCTCTGAGCCTCATTTCGTCAGTTACATATGTGGGGAACTCTGTATAGGAGAGACACTTCAAGTGCTGAGTAAATCTTTTGTGCTGAGAAATCTGTTCCTGCAGATTCGGTATTATACTCACATTTCTTTCTGGTATTGACACCATTTTCTCACTCCAAGACCGAACAATGCCACGCAGAAAGAGAGCAAAGCTGCTACGATCACTGGCCAGGACATTCCATCTTCAGTCTTATTAACCACAATACCTGCGAAGGGCGTCAAGAGAGATGAATTTTCATGTCAAACTTTGGCAACTAGAAAGCATGACTAAGTGAACTCTCTCTCTTACTTGAAACATGTTTTCTCCAAGGCCCATCACGGACCACAGTCATGCTCTGGGATCCTATCTATCCCTTGTTCTCACTTCTGTTTTTGAGTTTCTGCAGTTACTTTTTTAAAAAAAATGTTTTATTTATTTCTGAGAGAGAGAGAGAGAGACATCATGAGCAGGGAAGGGTCAGAGAGGGAGGGAGATACAGAATCTGAAGCAGGCTCCAGGCTCTGAGCTAGCTGTCAGCACAGAGCTCGTCACAGGGCTCGAACCCACAAACCGTGAGATCATGACCTGAGCCGAAGTCGGACGCTCAACCGACTGAACCACCCAGGTGCCCCTGCAGTTACTTTTTATGTGAATGTTTTTCTTGGAATGTTAGAATGTTCCTGAACCCACTTTTTTTTTCCCCTCTCATTTTCCCAAGGCCCTGAACAATTCCTGGCATATGATGGCCAATTAAATGTTATTTGAAAGAAGGAATAAATAAAAATGATAAGCTGTAAATTTGTATTTCAAATTTTCTCCAGTCAAGGAAACTTTATACGTGAAATAATGCCCTAGCTTTGGCTTTTTCTCCTCTTTAAGAAGTCATTTAATGCTTCATGGAATTTACTGAGTGTATTAGGAGGAGGAAGAAAGAGTAAAAGGCATTATCACTTTATAGCATTCCGTTGCCCTGAAAGTCCCAAGTGGAGAAGGCCTGGGTAATACCTATAGAGGTGTAGTGCTCAAGAGACCATCATCCAAGACTTTTCGCTTGGATGTCACTTGAGGAATGATAACCCAGAATAGAGATTTTTAAATCCTTTCTACTACTGTCCCTTTCTCTTCTTCCTCCTTCTCTACATCTCAGCAATACAAACAGGAGAAGTTACAAAGCAGAAGCCAGATAGTTTTCCTCTTTCTGTGGTCTGCAAAGGGCAGAAGTTAAAAGTAAAGGGCTGGAGGGGCACCTGGTGTTTCAGTCGGTTAAGCATCCGTCTTTGGCTCAGGTCATGATCTCATGGTCTGAGTTTGATCCCAGCGTCTGGTTCTGTGTTGACAGCTCAGAGCCTGCTTCAGATTCTGGGTCTCTCTCTGCCCCTTTCCTGCTCATGCTCTGTCTCTATCTCTTTCTCTCAAAAATAAATAAACATTTGGAAAAAAAAGCAAAGGGCTGGTAGAAATTAAATGGTGGGTGATACATAGACTGATTTTTCTTACCCTTCTGATTATATCCACACTCGATTTATTCATTTCATTTCTAGCATTTGAACACCAAGTCAAGCTGTGTGAATCAAAGACTTTCAAATATTGTTGATTTTAGACCAGAGGCAATGTAAATATCATATTCTGGACTGTTTTACTTTTTTACTAACATGAAGGAAGAATTAAGAAAATTAACTCTCTTAGGAAATAAGATTGTTTCATTGATTCTAATACAGAGAATAAAAGGGTATGTCTATAATTACATAGTTACTTAACATTTTCTTTTTAGAAAAACATTTTTAAATTATGTTAAAAATTCAAACAGTGGCTAAAATGAGCAAATCAGAGAACACGAGATGCTGGCGAGGATGTGGAGAAACGGGCACCCTCCTACACTGTTGGTGGGAATGTAAACTGGTTTAGCCCCTCTGGAAAACAGTGTGGAGGTTCCTCAAAAAGTTAACAATAGAACTCCCCGATGACCCAGCAATAGCACTGCTAGGAATTTATCCAAGGGATACAGAAATGCTGAGGCATAGGAGCACATGGACCCCAATGTTCATAGCAGCACTCTCCACAATAGCCAAAACATGGAAAGAGCCTAAGTGTCCATCAACGGACGAAAGGATCAAGAAGATGTGGTTTATCTATACCATGGAATACTACATGGCAATGAGAAAGAATGAAATCTGGCCATGTGTAGCAACATGGATGGACCTTGAGGGTGTTATGCTGAGCAAAATAAGTCAGGCAGAGAAGGACAAATATCATATGTTTGCACGTATAGGAGGATTAGGAGGAACTTAACTGAGGAACAAGGGGGAGAAGAAGGGGGGAAATGGTGGGGGAGAGGGAGAGAGGCAAACCATGAGAGACTCTTGAATGCTGACAAAAACTGAGAACTGATGGATGTAGGGGGGAGAGGGGATGGGCATGGGGGAGGGCACTCGTGGGGATGAGCACTGGGTGTTATGTGGAAACTAATTTGACAATAAACTATTTGTAAAAAAAAAAACAAAAAAACCCAAAAAAACAAAAATAAATAAAATGCTAAAAAAAATTCAAACAGTATAGAAATATAAAACTATAATGAAAAAGGAAGTGTCCTTATGGGTTTGGATGCCAGTAACCCACATGAGAGGCAATATGTTTTAATAGTTAATTATGTATCCTACTGGAAATTTTCTATGCATATATAAGCAAACATATATATCATGAATATGTATTTCTTTTCTTACAAATGAGGGCTTCCTATATATGTTGTTCTGTCACTGGCTTCTTTCTCTTAAAAAAATGCTCTTGGAATATTTTCCACAGAAGTACATAGAGAGTTATCTTATTTTATTAAATGAGTGGCTAGTTCCCCAATGTATAGATATAACATAGTTTATTTAATTGGTTTCTTAACTTTCAAGGGTTAAATTTCTTATTTCTAATAACACCCCAGTGAAATTCCTTATACATTATGAATAACTTTCCAGATTATGCAGATCATTTGGGAAAAACGTCCATTTTATGTCATAATTATCTGGATTGAATTTCCTTTATTGCTTCAACTAGATTGTCAAATGTCTGTAGGCAGAGACCAGGTTTTTAATTTCTTTCATTGCGTCAGACTTATTATACTGTTTTTTATAAAGCAAAGTCTCAAGGTATATAGGGAAAAAAACCTGGGTTCAAACTATTACCAAATCTTTTCTATGTATTACATAGTTAAGACTGCAGCAATACGATGTTGTCATGTATATGACACACACGTAGGGACTTAGGACCTTCCTGAGGCTCACCCTACCTCAGCCTTGTCCAAGCACATGCTGAGGGCAGTCTGGCAGCCCCGGTAGTCTTTTACTACTTGCCCATGTGCTATGTTGTATGTGCAGGTGACTAGTTCACAGTAGTTCATGGCAGTAGTGGAACTGGTAAAGACTAGACTATCACAATCATAAAAGAAACAGTCATACAGGTGGTTAATCCAAGACTACACAGAGTTCCATTTTAGTCAAGTCAAAATTTACTAGGCTCTACACTGGTAACAGGTGGGATATAACATTTTACTCCCAAAGTTTTGGAGAAATAAATGAACAAAGGGTTTTATTTATTTTTATTTAATGTTTATTTACTTATTTATTTATTAATGTTTATTTTTAAGAGAGACAGACAAGGAGAGAGAAAGAGAAAAAAGAGAGAGAGAGAGAGAGAGAGAGCAAGAGAGCATATGCACAGGAGAGGCAGAGAGAGGAGAGAATCCCAAGCAGGCTCTATGCTGTCAGTGCAGAGTCCGACATGGGGCTCGATCCTATGAGCTATGAGATCATGACCTGAGTTGAAACCAAGAGTTGGACCCTTAACCAGCTGAGCCACCCAGGCACCCCAAAAACAAAAGGTTTTAAATGAGTCTTACATCAATGCCTAAAAATTTTCTCCCTACCAAATACAGAAAATGAGACCATTGACCTCACGAATGTCTCAATGGAGAAGCAGGGCTCCTACCTTGCCCATCTCTAAAGTAGGCAGTTTTTAAGGCACCAGTATCTGACAGACATTGGTAAGACTTAAGTTTGCATTTCTAGTGCCATGTTGTGTGCAGGACGATGCTCCAGTGACCTGAGGACTGGATGACCTTTGATGCAGAGTAAGCTGAGAACCCAAGTGGAGCATTTAGCAGTCAAGTGAACACCTCCTGAAGTGAATGACTTGATTATGCCCTGGATCAGGTGGGTCTTGGTCTTTTAGGATATAAAACAAGAAGTTATATTTAGCATTGACAAAATGGTATTAGTTTAATTGTAGAAATGCTCTTTGTTCCAACAAAGAGTCTCAGATATATTTCCGCAGGATAAAATGCTTCTCACTACTTTTCACCTGGCTAGTTTTCATCATTTTTCAGATTTTAATTTCAATATATCTTCAAAGGCTCCTTTCCTGTTCCCAGTGAGAATCAGATATTTCTGTTATATTCTGACAATCCCTTGTACTATTTCAGTGTTTGTCACAAATTAATTATATGATTATTTACTTACTGTATATCATCTGCAATAGATTATAATCTTCAGAAGGCTAATGTTTACACAGGTCTCTTCTACATACAAAATGAGAAAGATCTACTTCTTTCACAGTGTATACCCAACAGCTGGCACTGTGTCTGGCAAATGTTAGGTATTCAACAAATACTTGTTGAGTAAGAAACACAATTTTTTTTTAAAAGTAAATGACTCACCAGTGATATGGATGTGACTGTTTTTAGTCGACTTGGCAGTTGTGGGAACTTCTGAAAGTCTTCTGGTTGTGCTGTTGAAGATATCACCTAGAGAGATACAGGGGATATCTGAACTGATCCTTTTAGACTATTTTTTTTAATGTTTTATTTATTTCTAGGAGAGAGAGAGACAGCGTGAGCAGGGGAGGGTCAGAGAGAGAGGGAGTCACAGACTGAAACAGGCTCCAGGCTCTGAGCTGGTAGTCAGCACAGAGCCCGACACGGGGCCCGAACCCACGAACCGCAAGATCATGACCTAAGCGAAAGTCGGACGCTTAACTGACTAATCCACCCAGGCGCCCCTATCTGAACTGATCCTAATAGCCATCTCAACTCCATCAAGTGGTGTAAAATCATGACTGGATTTCCCTTGCTATTTGGAAGGGCTCAATTTTAATGGCCTAGTGTCCTACAGTACTATGTATAAAGTTTTCTAGGATCTTAGGATCTCACAGCTACCAGAGGAGTGAAACCTTCTATTGGTTTAGAGAAAAAAAAAGAGAAAGAGAGAGAAGCTGTACAGCACATATGACAAAACAATATCTGCTAAAGAATCTCCATGAGAAATGTAAGTGGTTATGGAAAATGTCTTACATTGGAGCCATCGAAAAATTGGACTTATCCCTATTCTCCCAGGGTATCAGGAGTCCAGCGAATCAAAATACTGATTCTCCCACTCGAATGTCTTCAAAAAAGTGAATAAAACTTCTTTTTCAACTTTTTAGTAGACAAATCTTTGTTGACAAATCATCTCATTTGCTAGTGGAAAATTACCATTTAAAAAAATTTTTTTTTATGTTTTATTTATTTCTAGGAGAGAGAGAGAGACAGCACGAGCAGGGGAGGGTCAGAGAGAGAGGGAGTCACAGACTGAAACAGGCTCCAGGCTGCGAGCTGGCAGTCAGCACAGAGCCCGACACGGGACTCGAACCCACGAACCGTGAGATCATGACCTAAGCGAAAGTCAGACGCTTAACCGACTAAGCCACCCAGGTGCCCCAATTTTTTTTTTAATTTTTTTTATGGAAAATTACCATTTTAAATAAAATTTTAATGGATCTTGTTAGTTAAGAAATGCTATTTTGTAGATTTCATTTTGAAATAAAACAGAGAAAAAAATCTAAGTCTTGGTCTCCGACTATCTTCTTTGGGTGACCGTGACTGGGAAGAATTTTGGTTCTATTCACTGTTGTTTTCATCATCAAGGTCTGCTTTTAAATACCCGAGATTGGTTTCTTACCTCCTCTTGTTTTTCCACCTCTGCCCAAATAAAGCAGATCATTACCTTCCCTGACCCTAAGTCTCCCCCAAGCACTCACCTTGAATTGTTGAGCCTGCACCTGCAGGGGATGAACTGTCTGTTTCACTGGGCATCCATGGAGCTGCTAGGGGAAGAAGACATCGGAAGAGTCAGGCTGTGTAAAAGCAGTGATTTTATTGTCCCTTCTTGACCTTTAATTGAAACTAGTAATTTATATAAAATAATAAAATGAAAAAAAAAGATGATTAATGAAGACATAAAGTAAAATCCTTGAACTATTCTGCAGCATGCATTAGAATGTCCCAAAATAAGGCAGGAGTTGAGGGAAAACTTGTGATCTAGATGTCTCAAATAGGAAAGGTTTTGATTATAGCCACTTAGAAGCAGGAAGCAGAAATGGAAGGAAAACACTAGGAGAGGTTCCTTCAGCCACAGAGAGTGTGTTGTAACTGTCCTTCTGTCCATCCAATAGGTGGGAGAAAATGAAAACCCAGGTGTGTTATGGCGGCCCTTAGTTGAGAAAAGGTGCCTACCTTGGTAGAACATGCGTGAGGGGATAAAATAGTTGGTACTTGTTCATAAGTTGACATTCTTGGTTGGCTGTGGAAACTGAACTGTGTCAATAGTAAATTATCAGACCCCTATGGTCAAAGGCCTCACTGTGCGAGTCGTCTTGATGGATTCAGAAGCAAACCTTCCCCTTGAGTGGATGGCATCAAACTCAGGCAGTACCTATGGCTTTTGAAGTAGATTTATTGACTCATTTTATTTAGTTTGCCGTCTCTGGCAGAAAAGTGCCACTTGTTGGCAGGCTCTGCATTTCTGTATTTGAGAACAGGCCTGCAGTGTAGTGTAAAGTAAAATAGCTAGAGTCGTACATAGTTGCAACTGGTAGAAAAACATTATGCTCATTTATTTAAAACATTAGCATGTACGATTTTCCAAGTGTTTTCTTGGATGTCAAGACCAAAACAAATAAGCAAAACGAAACCAAACATTAAGAAAAATCCTTAGTCCTCCCCTTTTCTGGTTTCTCTCTGGGTGCCAAAGGTAGTTGCAGCTGCAGACACAGGTATGTTATCAGGCCCTTCAAGAGGCGTAACTCCATGCTTTCCCGGGACTGCTCACAGTGCAGTCTGCTATTGCTAATTCCACTGAGGGTCACCCCAGACATAAGGGGGTTTTGTATGCAGCTATTCTGAGTGTGACTAGTGTGACTAGGTCAGGGAGACGTTCTCATCTTCAGTATAATTATCTGACCCTGCACATGTGATCTTGACTGCTTTTTGTTGTTGCTATTCTAGGCAGAATTCCAAGGTCAATAGATGATGATGGACTGGGTCTTTTTAAAAAGCTCATTTTTTAAAGGCTAAGCCATGAAGTTAGGGATTTGACTAACAAAGAATAACAACCAATTAAAAAGAAATTGGGACCAGGACTGGATTTAGGTAAAATGAAGAAGGCAAATCGTTCCAGATAAACTTAAAAGACTTTTAGCCCAATATGGTGCTCCCTTACTTATTTTTAGAACTTGATACCTTTATTTTTTATCTTTTCAAAGTCTGTTTGTAAGAAAGGATGTGATAAATTAATTTTATGCTAAGATATAAATAGTTGAACAAGTAGTATCCCTTTTGGGGAAGTGGGTATTAAAATTCTCTTTTTCCATTTCATATTTATCATCAGCAAGTAAATACAGAACATTTTGTAAAAACCAACAGTTTTTTCACCAGATCTAGAATGCCAATCTTTTCTGGTCAATATTGATTTTCTCCAGGCAAAATAACCAAGCATAGCACAATTTCAGGAGATGGTGATACCATCAGCATGATCCACGCAAATTACAAAAATGGTAGTACTGAAAATTATGCAAATGAATTGCCACTTCATAAATCTTCCTTTTTAGACTTCTAGGAATTTTCCAAGTGTAAAAAGACTCCTCAGAAAATGTGTGATAAAATTAAACATAAGAATCCAGTTGGGAAAGCAAAAGTTATTTTTCTCATTTTGGCTTTAAGATTAGTTTTTAATCTGTTAAAAAATACAGAGGGGAATGTGTTGAGAGAGGTGAAGAAAAAGGAGCTTCCAGTTGATGGATTCAGCATGTCTGAAAATACTTAGGTAATGTAAAGAAAAAAACTTTAAGAGCGAGAATGTATTATACATTAGAGTCTTTCAACAAGACAAAGAGATGAGCAATTCTTGTATCAATTGCTCCCACAGGAAGGAGGTCTTCCTGAAGAATACTTATTTATAGAACCCTCAGTAAGATAGAGTTGGCCTCTAATGATTCATCTTTCACTAACACAATACTTTTCTAAAAGCTCATCCACTTTATCATTTAGATATCCAATTTTCAGAATGTGTTCCACATTGGCTACCCCATCTGCCATTCTTAAGTTTCTTGGAGAATCTCTCGGCAGAATTATGTTTCTATTGTTTTTTAATTGATTGAAATATATTGTGTTCTTCAAGCCACCATTATGTTTGTTAAATACATGAGTTAATTCTCCTTTAAATCTTTTGAGACTCCGTTTTAATCAAATGCATGAATAAACACTACTTCGACATTTGGATGATAAATACCAGCTTGATGGATAACCTTCTCAAGTACATCACCATTATCAGCCAAAAATATGAACACAGGGATGTTGTGTTTTTTGTTTCTCAAAGAAATTTTTATATCCTTCCTTGAGCATAACATTGGATTCTTCCACAATTCATTTAAATTTAGCATTGGGTAAAGCTTGTTCAACAAGGAAACTATGTGCCTTGAATAAAGGGATACTTTTCTTCTATGGTAAAAGCAGAATCAGTTTTGACAACATAGTATTTTTCCTTAGTTGTAAAAATCCTCTTGACATTCATTTTTGCAGCCAGTTTATGGTTGTCAATAATATTATGACAGGTTGGGCCTCTTTTCCCTTCGTGGGGAAATCTCCTTAGTCCATGGTTATCTGAAGATTGACTGATACCTTTTTGCTAAAGCTACAGATAATTTCTGTAATTTTTGTAGGGTTTTGATGCAAGTTGAACTTCTCCAAAATTTGGGCATCATTTTTACATGCACATTTTTACATATACATTTACCCAGACTTGTCTCAGTTATCTAATCACCCTTAAGACATTCTGAGTTCTTCTGTCCTTGATATTGTCCTCTAACAATGGCATGGGTGGCAAGAAATATTCAGAGATGCAGGGCTCGAATACAGGGATCTCAATGATCTTGGTTTTCCGCCCCATCTTCCTCTTCCTCTTCAGGGTAAACTGGGCCAACACCACCCCTTATCCCAGGATGCACACGCTGGCACTAGTTACCATGTCTGTTCTTGTCACAACCACTTTATCTATAGATGAGACCCTCATGCTCTCCCTGACCATCAAAAAAGATGACATTCATGACCTCTGCTAGCTCTGGAGAGACCCATGAAGTCCTCGGAAATTGGCATGTTAACAGAAGATAGAACTTAGAATCAGAGGAAACAAAGCTTTAATTTGTGGCTGACCTAATCAGGACCTAGGTAGCAGAATGGGAGGAGGACAGTGTTTTAGAGAAGAGGAAAATTGAATGAGAAGTGATTCAAGACATATAAGATTTTAGAATTTGAGGACAAGAGTGGCAAACTTAGAGAATCAGCATCATAGCCAACAGGGAGTATCAAGACTGCAGAGAGTACTGTGCAACCGGAAATAGGAGCAGGATCCCACATTGTTGTAGATTCTGTCATTGCTATGTCCTTGCCATTGACCCTCAACCCCTCAACTACCGCTTCTCCATCCCCTCTGCCTGTGGAAGGAGAAAGAGTTGCTATGAAATTATTAGGCAGAGTTACCAAAAGCCGGAAAAGAACCAACCAGGACCAAGGACAGGGAAAACCATGCACTTGCAAGATTTACGAAGAAGAGTACCTAAATTTTGAAGAATAAGGAATGTATGGTTGAAGAACAGAATAAAGACCTTGTGTGAAGTCATTAAGAAGTACTCTGAGGGGCGCCCGGGTGGCTCAGTCGGTTAAGCATCCTACTTCAGCTCAGGTCAGATCTCACGGTTCGTAGGCTTGAGACCTGCAACAAGCTCTGTGCCTGGAACCTGTTTTGGATTCTGTGTCTCCCTCTCTCTCGGCCCCCCCACCCCACTATGCTCTGTCTCTCTCTGTCTCAAAAATAAATAAACTATAAAAATTTTTTTAAAAAAAGAAGTACTCTGAGACACAGGTGTGTGTGTGTGTGTGTGTGTGTGTGTGTCCGTGCATGTGTATGAGGTAATGGTGAGCTTGTTGATTTTGGTAATGGGGCAAATTGGAGGCATAGGCACCCATGGAGATGCATATCATTTTTCTACTTGTCTAACATACACAGACTGACTGATTTTAATGTGGGTTTTGGCTTCACTGGACCAGATGGATGGCAGGGAAAACAAAGAAAAAAGTAATCAAGCTTCACTTTTCTGCTCCATGGCCTGATTACTTGAGTGTCAGGATGAAAACGTCTCAGGATGTTATTAACTTTATATATTTGGGGTATTTAGATGGTCAGATTTGGTACCCTCATTTCATAAGTGGCTAAAGTAAAATACACATGTCTGTTCCAGACTGTTGGAAACTTGGAAGATGAATGGGATTAGATTCTAATATTCTCAAGTTGATAAAATGACAGTAAAAGAATATATGAAAACATATACTTATGAATTAGTGTAAATGTAATGCACTCACAATCTTCCAGTGACATCCAAATACATATAAGCTACACAAAATGCATGTATAAGCAAATATCCCAGTAGAATGTGTTCAGAAATAGCAAGAGCCTTAGAAACACTGTTCATGGGTTTATTTCACCAGGAATCTATCCATTATCATTCTTTATCTGCCTGTGAACATTTCATAAATCTATTGAAATAAACATACTAGAAGGAAAAAAAATCCTATTACCAATGCCTGTCGTGAATCTTGCCAAATGCATCATCTAATATTGGATGTCACATTACCGTCCAATCCAACGAGTAGAAACATGTTTCAAAAATAGTTTGGGAGTGAGCAATCAATGTTAACTTGTCGGATCCTAATGTGTTTTTGTGAATGATTATAAATAGAGCAACTCATCGTGGGGAATTTTTTTCTCTAAGCTTACAGATTAAAAATGGCAACTAGTAAACAAGATATTCTTATTTGCATAAGTAGAAATGTGGGTTTTCAGGGCTGGGAAAATTTTGTTTGTTGGGTTTCAGAGTCCTTTCTTAGATTTCACATTTTCTAAGGCTATTTTATGGTAAGAATGATAAAGAGATGTTTGAGGATAAATGAAGTTTTCAAGTAGGAAAGGACAGATGATGTTAGAAGGGAAAGGGAAAGGATAGATGCTATGAAGAATTGCAATAGTTCGTTTCATTATGAAATCTATTTAAAAGGCCAAGAATATATTTGTGTAAATTATAAAGCACTTTCCTGCAAGACCCTTTTAGTTTTCCAGTTTCTGGGGCAGAAAATACTTTGGGCAGCCTCTATGCTTCATAACAATATGATGCATGGGATGAAAAGGTTTTATTCTGGGCATTCACAATATTAAAATAACAATTTAAATAAAGCAAACAAAAAGTTTAAAAATTCTGATTAAGCTGATCTTTCTTTTCTTTTCTTTTTTTTTTTTGGAGAGAAAGAGAGAGAGAGCATGAGCAGTGGAGGAGGCAGAAGGAGGGAGGGAGCGAGGGAGGGAGGAAGGGAGAGAGAGAGGGGGAGGAAGAGAGAGAGAGAGAGAGAGAGAGAGAGAGAGAGAATATTAAGCAGGCTCCATGCTCAGCACAGAGCCCAGTGAAGGCTCAATCCCACAACCCTGGGTTCCTGATCTGAGCTGAAATCAAGAGTTGGACACTAAACAGATTGAATCACCCTAAATCTTTTTTTTTCCACTGTGTGTGTGTGTGTGTGTGTGTGTGTGTGTGTATTCTCTTCTCTGTCTTTGCACACATGTACACAGATTCTTTCAATTATTCAAGAAATATTTGCTGAGCACCTACTGTATGCCTGCCACTGCTACAGTCATTTTGATACTATGGTAAACAAGACAGGAAAAAGTTTAGGTCCTTGTTCTTGTATATCTTACACTTCAGTATAATTTAAACTAAAAAATCAAATAAATCAAATAAAAGAAATAATTAGGCACCAAATTATTATCCTGAGAATGAAAATATGGGATAATTTATATATAATCATAGCATAAATTTAAGTTGAAGTTGAGCTTTTTCCAATAATCTTTTATCATCATTGCTACATAATTTCCCCATAACCAATGAGTATTAATTTATTTATCTATTCAACAATATTTGTAGAGCACCAACTATCTGCCATGCATTACCTTAGGCACTGAGGATGCAGGTAAGCAACAGAAACAAAAAAGATCTCATGGACTTAACTTGTATTATACTATCAAGAATAAAGGATGACAAACTAGTATAGGTAAAGGAGAGTTTCAGCAAGTTGATTATAAACTCAACTTTATGTTAGCACCATAGAAGATAAATCTTAGTCTATTAAGTATGGACTTTCATCCCCAATCTAACTCATATTTTTAATCTCAATTTATATCTGATGGGTAAAAATTTTTGTCAATTGATTATATGTGAAATGATTATCTGATTCTACTCTTCATTTGCCTTTCCTGTTTATTGGAGAGGCTAAGCATCTCTTTGGATATCTTTAAAAAAAAATTTTTTTTAATGTTCATTCATTTTTTTTTTTTAAGAGACAGAGAGAGCGAGCCAGCAGGGGAAGTGGGGGGGTGTGGGAAGGCATAGAGGGACACACGCACACAAAGAATCTGAAGCAGGCTCCAGGCCCTTGATCTGTCAACACAGAGCCTGACATGGGGCTCAAACTCATGAACTGTGAGATCATGACCTGAGCCGAAGTTGGCTGCTTAACCGACTGAGTCACCCAGTTGCCCCTCTTTGGATGTTTTCTAGCCATCGCGTTATATCTTTGGTGATGTGCCTTTCTGCTCATTTTCTAACGTTTTTGTATTTTTAAAAATTGATTTGTAGTAGCCATTCTTTATATATTCTTGATATAAAATTCTGATCCTTTGTCAATTATGTATTCTTGATCAGTTTCCAATGTTTGATTACATATGTGGCAAATATCTGCTCCCACACTACAGCTTGCTTTTTTTTTTTTTTTTTGCTTTTGCTAAGGTGTTTTTTGATGAAAAGAATTTTCTTAATTTTATTATATTCTAGTCTATCATTTTTATGGTTTGTGGTTTATGTCTCTTTTTTAAGCCCTTCCTTACCCCAAAGCCAGAAGGAAATTCACCTTTATTTTACTACACACCTTAATGTTTTGCTTTTGACATAAAAATCTTATATGCCATGGAACTTATTTTTCTGTAATGTGCATGAGAGGCATACATTTTAGTACTTTTTTTCCTTATAAATAATCAGTGTTTCCAGATCCATTTGCTAATTACCTCTTCTTTAAAAAGTTTTTTTTTAGTATTTTTATTTACTTTTGAGAGGCAGAGAGAAACAGAGTGTGATCAGGGGAGGGACAGAGAGAGAGGGAGACAGAATCTGAAGCAGGCTCCAGGCTCTGAGCTGTCAGCACAGAGCCCAACATGGGGCTCAAACTCCCAAACTGTGAGATCATGACCTGAGCCGAAGTCGGACGCTTAACTTACTGAACTACCCAGGTGCCCCACTAATTGCCTCTTCTTTTATTAGGAATGTGTCATGCCACCTCTGGCATATCTAGGTTACATTTATTTGTGGATCTCTGGGGCGGGGGGGGTTGGTGCTCTCTCTTCTTTCTTTTCACTTCTTGTTCTTGGGCACTAAATTCACAGGTTTCTATTATATAAACATATATGTTAAAAGAAATACACTAAGTTAAATTAAATCATACATAGACTAATGGTGGAAGTGTGTCCTGAGTTAAGGATTATGATTAATCCAAGTGTGTGCACCTGAGGTCCACAAAAGAGATAAATTAAGTAACTAATGTGACAAAGAGCAATATTACACATGTTCCTTTTTGCTCTTCAATTAATTTCCTAAGGACAAGTTCCCAGCAGTGAGATGACAGAGCCAGTGCGTATAAAAGACTTTCAGAGGCTTTAAATGTACAACTTACAGTCTTTCCTAAAAGACACACACACCTTTACCCTTTGTGGAAAAGGGCCTGGTAGTAAAATCCAGAGGTCTGCAACCAGTGGCCTCCGGGGGCTTTGCTTCAGCCACATTCCAGCCACTTCCCTGCCACACAGATCTTTGTCTTCTGCCACTAAGAGGCAGTGTACTTCCTCTTCAGATCCTGTTGATACCTGCTAAAGCAGCAGACACTGTCGCCGTGAGGCAGCCCGATTAAGTGGCCAAACCATTTCCTGCCTCACACCGGGCTCCCTCTTCTCATTGTTCTCAGTGATATGTGTATTCTGGCTACCTCACTCTTTCCTCAGTTACATTCATACTTTGCTCTCTTCATCTCTTTGCTCTTTCTTCATGATTTTACTCAGATGTTACCTTCTTCAGTAAGGCCTTGTGAAACTACCTGATTTAAAACAGCAACCCACCCGCACACCTGATTCTCATTGTCTCCCTCCACTGCTTTATTCATTCCCCATCACTCATCACCATTTGCCTGTCTCGCTTCCACTAAAATTTGGAACATAGATCTCTTTTGTTCACAGATGTATCCCTGGCAACTACAACAATGCTGTAAACACAGTAGATGCTTTGTTTAGTGTTTGTTAATACAATTATGAACAGAGCATGTAGTAGTTGTGCATGACATGTATTGGATGAATAAATGGGGCCCAGGAGACCCCAAGGGACTCACAGTGACACTTACAGTTATTGGTATCTTTCCTGCCTGAGGTCCAGGAGTAGTTGAGGCCTTGGGTAGTCGCACTGGAACTGCTGGCTGAAAGACAAAATTCTTAGAATCCAACCTTTTTGTACAGCTGTAATTTAACTTTACTTTGATGCACTGAATTTTTAATCTATGTGACTTTGGGGAAATCTGAAATTGAAAATACGCTTTCCTACACAGGAACGCAGCTGGCATATTAAGCAAAAGCTCTGTAGTTTATGCTTAATGCCAACTTGTCACTGATTTTCTTTCTTTTTCTGTTCTTGTTGCCAGCTCAGATCACTGGGAGTACTGTCAAGATTACTTTAATGTTACCTTAAAATTCCATGAGAAATGAAACGTACAGTATAATAATTCACCAACCCATATTTTTAAGATTACAGTGATTGTCCTATCAATATATAGCCACCAATTAGATTACAATTTGCCACAGAGCAACTCAAAACCAAGACATCAAACATTAAATGAAAAATGTAGCCTTTGGCCCAAACCTCAACATTGTCATGGCTATACTAAAACTTGTGTTTTGTCTCTCTTCAGTCACATAAAGAAAGCCTTACTATACTCACTTTGAGGAGTGGTATTTGGAGTCGATATACCCACATCTCCAAGGGCTGTTGATGATGTAGCTGGATATCCTATTTTGAAAACAAATTTCCCAAACTGTTATAGGTATATACATTCCCATGTTTGATATGTTGCCATAATTAACAAGGGTGGCATGCAGAGCATGGAATATTAGCATCAGAAAGAACCTTGGTGAGGGGCACTTGGGTGGCTCAGCCGGTTAGGCGTCCAACTTCTGCTCAGGTCATGATCTCAGTTTGTGAGTTCAAGCCCCATGTCAGATTCTGTGTTACAACAGCTCAGAGCCTGCAGCCTGCCTCAGATTCTGTGTCTCCCTCTCTCTCTGCCCCTCCCCTCCTCATTATCTGTATCTCTCCGTCTCTCAGAAATAAATAAACATTAAAAATTTTTAAGAAAAAAAGAAAGAACCTTGATAAATACAGTGTCTAATGGCTTCATTTTACAAACTATGCACCTGCATCCAAAAGGCATATGCTTGTGGCTACGTACACAATATTCCATATCATTTATGTGATATTAACTCAGTTCTCCAAGTGTATCACATTCACACTTTCAAAATCTGATGTTTTAACGTCTATTGTGTGCCAGACTCCAGTATACATGCAACAATGAACACGAGGTCCTTGTCCTCATGGAAATTACCTTGTAGTGAGTTTTCACAATTGCACACAATATTTTCATATGTTAAATATGGTTACATATCTACTTCAGTTCTTAGTTTTCAAAATCATCCCCATCTTTACAGTCTGTCCTTTGCCATTCTTCTCCTCTCTCTTCCCCTCCCCCGCCCTGTAAATGAAAGACTAATTCATATTCATTTGAAAATATCTCAGGGCATGAAGCAAGGTAGATTGAAAATGAAAAATTCTCTATCACAGTCCATTTGAAAAAATGGTTTATCTCTTGGGAAAACAAATGTTTAATGCATTTTATTTGTGTGTATTTCTCCTTTGTTCCAAAAACATATTTAAAGTCATATACATAAATATTCAATTCAACAAGATAAAAGAAGGAGATAGAAAGGGAAACTAGAGACAAGGAAAATATAGTTAGAAAAAGTATGTTAACCTCTGTCTAAACCTAAGTGGGGACAGTACACAAAATGCATTTCTTGATGTCATGTACTCTTAATAGATTTGAGTCCGACATTTCATCAGAACTTTCTAGTAATGATGCTAAGAAATAAAGGGTTTATATTCTGCCATTTGTGGCCATCATAGGATAACAACAGTCAGTTTTCAAGAGAAACACAGCAATTCTTTTTATTGTGATTAAAGAGGAAATTTCTCCCCAGTCTTTTAAAAAAGAATACTGTATACTGTGTGTAATAATAATACAATATCTTCAAAGTATGACAGTCAGAACGGTCATTCACCTGTAAGCTCTAGTTCATCGTGAATGGCATCCCACCCTCCCAGGCACCTCAGTTCTGAGAAATGACATGCTTAAATAAAAAACATGGGTAACCAAATTCCTGAAAAAATACACGTAGGACACATTGATAAATTGGCATCATGGCTTATGCATTTAAAGTAATTTAGAGAAATGATCAACAATTGTTTTGTAATGCAGCCTCCTTCCTTCCTTCCTTCCTTCCTTCCTTCCTTCCTTCCTTCCTTCCTTCCTTCCTTCATTCTTTCCTTCCTTTCTTCGTCTCTCCCGCTCCCTCCCTCTCTTTCTGAGAACTAACCTCCATAGAATTCACCAAGTGATTATGTAAGTGAAAGCAGAAAGGAATGGTTTTAAAGTGGTGATATGATAACAACAGTGATATTAATGAAGAAAAAGAACTAAGAGGTAATCATCAGAGAACTTCGTATCATTTGCAGGCAATATTACTGTTACCTAGAAATCTCAGCCTAATAAGCAATTGGCAATCACCTTTTAAAATGCCTCTTACTTACAAACAATGGACACTTTCCCCAGCCAGCTATTGCGCCGACCATCGGCTCCACGTGATTTGATTCTGTCAGGAATCAGTGGAATCCTGATGTTGTATGATGACTGAGAATTTCATGTGTATTAAAATGACTGAGTAAATTTCTTTTCTGGAGAATCAGAAAATAATGCAACATAAATTCTTGCTTACTGCGACTTTACTGCTGGGAAAGGAGAATTCATCCATTCGATTCCATCTACATGTTGTTCTTGGACCACATGAGAGGAGGAACACGGACAGCCCCAGGATCGCACACCACCTTGATCTTTGTGTTACTGTGTCTCTTGTCTGGCCTACGTATCGGTGCTGCTCTATGCTTCCTCTCGTAGGCCTGTAGGGCTTGTGGAGGGCTGACTGTGTGCCAGTAAGCTTCTGGGAACAAAAGGATCGATGACACCCCGTCATAGCCCCAAGAAGCCCACGCTCATTTCAGTTTTATTGGCGTCCAGCTGTATTTTGTTTGGGTCTTGGCCTGAGGGTCTGTACCAGGTTGCATAGATTATTGACAGAATGATCCCTTTACCATGAGACCCTGACTTTCATGTGCAAGTCAGAGCTGAAGCCATTTAGAAAACTATCTAGTACTTTAGGTAAATTAAACCCCACTCACTCCCCTTGGCTTTACACTATGCTTCAAGGTTCCTTGGCATTACATGACCTGATCTCCAACAGTCTTCACGGTGTTAACTCTTGTACTCCCTTCCTACGTTCTTTCATTTATTGACCCAGCATTTGGGAGCCTCTGTCTTGCAGGCATTGTGCTCGGCACTGGGGGCACCGCACTGGAGTTGAAGTTCAGAGGATATGGACATCAACCAAAGAATCACAGAAACCAATCCAAAGAGAACACATGAAAGAAGAAACGGCTTATTCAGAGTCTCAGGAAGGCTCCACTGAGGACTGTCGCAAACTCGAGTGGGAGCAGGAGAGGGTGGCAGGAGCCTGGAGGTCAAGGACTCACACTGTTAGTAACAGCAATGTGTGGGGCGTGTCTATCCAGGGCTGGGCCTTTGTAAGCTCTCAAGGAGGGTTTATTCTGTGGTGAACTGAATTGGGCATGAGGGTGTGAGCCACTGCTTGTCACAGTGCACACCCGCCGCCTCAGCAGCAGAGGACAGTGATCGAACTGTGGCTCACAAGGGCAGAAACACTGCTTGTTTCTCAGTGTTGTTTTGTTTGGTTGTTTTTGCTTTCAGAAGAAATCTCTTTCCAGAGCCTGGCCTGGAGATCCGTAACTGTAAGAGGACGTAACTGGCTGTCTTTTGACATAAAATAGAGCATTTTAAAAGAATTATATATATATATATATATATATTCTTTTTAGCCGAGTGTTTAAGATTCATATTAATCATATATTTCAGCATGTGAATAAAGCAGCTTGTGGGATTTTTGTTGTTGTTGTTGTTGTTTTGTCTTTTCTGTTTCAAGGTTTTATTTATACTCATAATAGAGCAAAGCCTCTCCGGCACTCAATACTTGGCTCTGTATTATGACATACTGTGTAGGCGAGCAATACGCCAAACCTAGTGACAAAGGTGTCCTGCTTTGTTTGCTGGTTGTTTACATGTTCTTCAATTTGAGTGCTTATTGTTATGAAGCTTGCGAGTATCCAGAGATACATATGAATGACCCAGTTTCCAGGAAAGAAGAAGGGGGTTAGGAGAAAACACTACTTTGTTCAAAATGTCTTGCCCATATTAATTTGAAAACTGCCATGAGGTTAGATGAGAAGTTTCAAAACTTTCCTAGCTCATTCCTATTTGAACTTAGACATTTTTTTTCACGGAAATTAAAAATTACCCCTTTATATTATCACTAGAAATTCAATTAAGCTAGAAGGCAGCTCTAGTCGGGTCTGAGTGTGATGGAGGAGACAGAATCGTGTTCTTGAAGAGCTAGTTCTGGTGGGCTCCTTGTGACATTACGAAGCAGAAGGGAATCCCTTCATCTGGACTCCTACCAGCTTCCTGGTGACTGTCCCACTCACTGTCAGAGAAGGGAAACAGAGGGAAATGCTGGAGATCTCCCGGGGGGTTCATCTGGGGGAAATGTTGAGATGTTTCCCAAACAACTTAAATTTCAAAGATCATTTAATACGAACTTACTCTGTACCAAATGACAGGGACAGGGGAGCGGTCGTGATGCAAGGTCAGTGGAGGATAAAAGATAAAATGGTAATTAAAAAAAAAGAAGTAAATGCTGATTTGGTCATGGTTTCCTCCTTCAAGGAATTAAAAAATACAGGTAAAGGTCTTGGTTTATTTTGAGATGAATTGTATTTGCTGGACTCCTGTTTGGATCGTGGCATGCCTCTCCAGACTGGCTCGTGGGGGTCTTAGCTTTAGAGTGGCTCTTTAAACATTTACATATTTGATTCTCTGAATAACCATATGAACTAGATATTACTAACTCCTGGTTTCTAAGATAAGGAAACAGTATTAGGTAAAAGGACTTGCCCAGATTACACAGCTAGGAGGCAGCAGAGATAGAAATTGAACTCAAGCCTGTCTGACACCAGAGACTTTATTCATTCGACTCTGGTAGACTTATAAAGTATAGTTAGCCTTGCTACAGAACCAGGGGGTAGCCCTGGAATTCAATCATGGTCCCTAGCACACAGCCTCCCAGATAATTGATAGTCTCTTGATTCTCCCCCGTCACCCCCTCTCAACCTCCCATTACATGACTGCCCAGTCTTCAAGCCCTGACCAGGTGCCATTTTCTTTATGGAGCCTTATTCTGTTCTCCCTGAAGCCTTTCCTTTGTTAATCTCTTCCTCCTCTGTGCTTGAAAAATATCCTTAAGCTCCAAGATATTTACTGAGTTATCAATACTTACAACCAGGTGTTATCACTTTTCTAGGTGATAGAGATACATCAGTAGACAAATCAGACCAAAAAAAAAAAGACCCTTATGGGATTCACTTTCTTGAGAGGACAACCCAAACTAATGAATTCTACAGATGGTTAAAAAATTCTGTGGAGAAAAATAAAGCAGGGAAAGGGGAAAGGAAGTGAGTTGGAGAAGGCTACAGTTTTGAATTAGGTGGTCATGAAAAGTCTCACTGAGAAGATGACATTTGAACAAAGATTGGGAGAAGATGAGAGTGTG